TATACCCCCACTCCCTCTCTCAGATCAGCTGACCAACTACTTCTGAGAGTCCCTGAAATGAAGTGCAATCTCAGAGGGGACCATGCTTTTGCTGTAGCAGCTTCTAAAATGTCAAATGAGCTTCCTCTTGGCATTAGACAGACCTTTTCACCGTCTGTTTTAAATCATTAATTAAAATCCACCTAATTTATTTTATGTTTTATACTCTGTAAGAACTGATTTTATGTGCTATGATTTTCTGAAATTTTATTGTATTTAACCAGATTTTTTATTTGTACTGGATTTTTTTTATTATTTTTTTTTTTTTATTATTCCTATCTGTTCGTGAAGAGGTGAAAAAGAGAGTCCAGGCAGGATGGAGTGGATGGAGAAAAGTTTCAGGAGTGATTTGCAACAAAAGTGTGGCAGCAAAGGTAAATGGAAAAGTTTACAAGACAGTTGTGAGACCTGATATGCTGTATGGTCTAGAGACAGTGACATTGACAAAAATAAAGGAGAAAGAACAGGAAGTGGCAGCAATGAAGTTGAGGTTCTCCTTAGGTGTGATAAGGATGGACACGAGTAGGAATGAGATCATCAGAGGTACAGCACATGTTGAACAACTGGGAGAAAAAGTTAGAGAGACCAGACAGAGATGGTTTGGACATGTCCAGAGGAAGGACAGTGGGTATACTGATAGCAGAATGTTAGAAATGCAGCTGCCAGGAAAAAGACAAAGAGGAGATATCCGGATGTTGTTAGAGAGAACATGGATGTAGTTGGAGTGAGGACAGATGATGCAAAGGACAGAGTGAGAGGATGAGAATTACTAGCTGTGGTGACCCCTGTAGAGGAAAAAAAAACAAAATAATAATAATAATAAGATATTCCTATCAGTTCTTATCAACTTTATCAAAGAAACAAACATATTGTTAAATTCTATTAAATGCATCAAATTTTGCCAGTGCACAGATTGCAAAAAAAGGTGTATGTATTTTCATACCACCCCAATAAACATCTTTTGATGTCTGATTTTACAAATGAATTTATGTTATGCAGTGTGTATTGGCACAAATTGGTTAATCTTCAAATCCCTAGATTATACATTTGCGACCTCTGTGGAATCCACCCACACAACTTATGTGCAACAAACAAGAAGCTTCCATTAGGAGAGTGCATGCTCTGGTGAAAACCTCATTATCCTGCTACATCTTTTTTCCCAACAACATTAGGGTTTATATTTTACTGCAATGGAACTTTAAGGTTTCCTTAAATTAAAGTAGGAGTGTGGAGTCTTAGCGGCAATGAACAATAATTACAGCACGCTGGTCATGATGTTCAGTGTTTTCCATTAAACTTAAAAAAACTATCATCTGATCTTGCAATGGAAGCATAATGATTATTTCAGTACAACCAATTGTTTTTGCTATCAATAACACCAGATGTGGTAAAAATAAATAAAAACAAATAAAATAAATAAACTCTGAAACATTCTTATGTAAAGGAAAGCTATAAACATACAATTCTTAACACATTTCACATCAGATATGACAATCATATGACTATCATATCATTGCCAATGACATTGCTTGCATAAGAAACATTTTCAAAAACCTGTGATTTTACTCAAGATTAGTTTACTTTGAGCCACTGAACTTTTTTTAAAGCATGTTTATATATCCACATGAATCAAATCAATAAAAAGTAATTCCTACAAAAAAAAAAAATGTTTACAACTTTTATTAAACATCAGTAGCAGAAGTTCTGTTGGAGTGAAATCAGGTGCACTGTCCTCACAGTGGTTAATCTTCTGCTGGAATGAGCTGACTTTGTGTACCATCAGAAAACACAGAGTCAACAAGTTTGCAACACAGCTGAATTTCTAACAAGTACAAAACAGAAAATGTAGCAGACAGCACTTATGTAAATCATCCAACTCCTGTTAAATGATTCTTGGTCGTCAGAGACAAATTAGTGCATCAAATGTGCTGTGTCTACGATCACCATCTCTGTCCGACTGCAGGCTTTGATCAGTCGGGGGGGGGGGGGGGGGGGACTTGGAATCTGTGTATTTATCACACACACACACACACACACACACACACACACAATGTGAAGGCATGTGAAAACCATACTGAAGATTCTGCAATGACTGAGCAATTTAGTAAAACATTTTAGCCAAGAGTTGTTTAAAATATTCTTTTTTTGGCTACCTGTCCAACAAAAAAAGTCACATAAAACCAGTTTAATCTTTTTGGCAGAAGTGGCTCATTTTTTAAGAACTTTTTTTATTCTATGTTTGTTTGTTTGTTCTTAGGATGATCGTGTTTATAATATAAACAAATGTAATTCAGACATTTAAAATAATAAAATGGCAGAAAATTTTGAATTAAGAGAGAGTTTTAAAAAGGCTCAACATGATCCTGTCTGATTTGCATACAAATCAAACAATAAGAATAGTTATTGTCATTTAAAACTAAAGCTCTTGGCAGTCTGTACAAATCCCACACTGTTTTGTCAGGTTAATCTCTAAGATGCACTTAGAAAAAAATAAGGATTTTTACTTACTTTCTCTGAATGCTGACTGACAGTCTTGTATGAAAGCATTTGGGGAAACAATTATAACTTCCGGCAGCTATTTCATCACTTGAACATTTAACTTCCATCTAACTAAAACTTAATGTATGGCATATGTGATTTTTTATTTTATTTTTTTATGAGGTGCCGGGGGATGCATATTTCATATGTAACACCTCCCTGCAAACGTTGTGCTTACCATATGTGGAATAGTCAAAAATGTTACAAAAAAAACCAACAACTTAGACTTCCCAACAAAAGACGACTCCGCCGTGACGTCGATGAAGTCTGTACTGACTGAAACTGGAATCTACACAAAAACAGTTTGACATGTGTGCTCAACAAAATTACTGAGGACAATAGTACACAGTGCATTAGCTTAATGTAAATCTTTTCTTGTGTCCACAAATTTAAGACACCAAAGGTGCAACTGCCCATCTAATTCTGTATATAAATGCTGAGAGAGGGTATTGCTTTTAGAATAAAGTGTGAAAAAGACATTTGAATGTTGCTAAAGCTGTAAGGAACACATTTTTCTGTCTACCACTATCTCTATTTCAAATGTTTAACTCAGTATTCCACTTCAAGGGAACACACTTCTGTTTCACCTAAAATTATATTGGTGAGTGTGTGAAATGGCCTAGAGAAGAGAAAAAAAATAATTCATATGGTCACACCAGTTTAAGAAGGGTGCCATAATCCTTAATATAACAATACAATTGTGTCTGTACGCTCATCCATATTATCTTAACAAATGTTGTACAGACCTGTTAAATGCATGAAAGTAACTAATGCTGTCTGAAAATGTTTGACATGTTTTTAAGGTTACCTTTTATTTGTGTGCAAGTATGCAAGTGTGTACATATAGCGAAAATGTGTTTATTGATCAACCATAATACATTTTGTATGTTCACTTTTTTTTTTCTTAAAAGCATTATCAAGTTTCTTTTGCATGAAAATAACAAGCAATAAAGTTTAATGGCCTTCATAAAAATTATACATGAAGAATGCCATTTAAAGAGTGCCATTTGCAGAAAATGGACCACTCTCATGGCCATTCTATTACCATTAAAACCCATTTTGCTTCTCTTGCAATTATTGACCTCCACATGCATGCAGAGTTCTTTTGTTTTTCTTTTTTTAACATGCTTTCCTAATGTCTTTGCACATACACATACACTTGTCTTGTTGATTTTGAAGGGAACATATCATTGCTTTAAAATACCTTTAAGCTATGAAAATGAGCTTCATATGTGTTTTATTTAATTGAATTTAATTTTGTTTTTTTTGGCACATCAACAGTGAGCTACCCATTGACAGTACAACTCTGTGTTACAATCATATATTTCCCCCCCGGTAGATTAAACATTTGCCTGACCACCAGCAGTTGCCGCAAAACATTTATGTTAAGGGATGCAAGTCCAGACTATAATAAGCTATGTTGTCATAAGTTGTATATAAGTTGAATATAGATACAAAATGGCAGATCAAGTGCTTAATGTTTGACCGTTTTACTTGTGCACTTGTGTAAGTCAAGTGTATGTAACTTTGCTATGACCCATGGAAAAATGTGCATGGCAGCATCAGAAGATATTTCCTCATCTCCTCAGTTGTTTCAACCAGGCATGAGATATTGGCCCTGACTCTTATATGTCTTTAGTCACAGTCACCAGCAGTTAAGTGACCAATTCCAATGGCTTGCTTAGGGTCAAATCACTATTCACAGTGCAACAAACCCATGTGGCATCTTCTTGAACAAGGTCCAACACATGGCTGGCTTTACACGTTGTTTCTAAAGGCAAGGTTGTGTGAACTTTAGTTTACAATTCTTGGCAGCAGTCTTTGTGCACATGTGATGTCTTTCTTAGACCTCCACAGTATGACTCTGAATTAGTTGCTTATTATTATGTTTTTATCATCTCTAAGAGACACAAGCTTGAGTCATCACTTTTTTTTTTAAATAATGGATCTTCTTACATCTGAAAAAGCTCAGGAAATCCTGCTGATCTAAACATGACTGAGCGAGCTGTACAGCATAATTAGACCAACGGCTAACCTTTTATTTTGTTTTGCCATACAGGTAGCTAGTTGTTTTCCTTTGGATAGATAGCCATTGAAGAATTCTCAGAGTGACAAGACCTGCTGTAGACCTCAATCACCAACCCTGATGTATCTGAAGTCTGCAGTGGGCCCACTTGTTGAGCCTATGCCATTAAGTAAAAACCTACATTTTCCTATCTGGTCAGTGCTTTCTGTGGAGTTGGTTATCTACTATGCCTCCTCATCACTGTGGGCTTTAGTTCTGAGCCCCTGCGTGTAAGTGTATGTGCCCTCCCAGTGAACTGACAATACCCAGCACCATCATCACCAAGTCAGAATCAACCACTTATAGACAATGTACTGGCCTCCTGTTTTATTCTGTCCTACAGCTACTGCACTCAATCATGGCTCCACTCACCTCTCCATCCACCGGTGTCAGCTACTCCCATCTCAGTGAGAAAGTTGCTGAACTGGAACAACGGATAACCACTCTACAAAGGATCTGTGAAGCAGAAATGCAAAAGGACACCATCATCATCATCATCATCCATTCTTCAGTACAGTCACATCTGCCCCCAGTCCTGCCACTGATGTTACCCCTGAGGAAAATACTATTTCCTCTACATCTAGTGCTGCCACTCTTTGTCCAGTTGCTGTCGTTCCTGGTCCAATTGCTGCTGCCCCTCCCCCACACACCAATCTCGACAATGCCTGGATTTGGCCAAGGAACAAGCTGAAGTCCTTTACCACCTCCACTCCACATGAGCCAGCGACCCTCTCCGTGTCCTTTAACCATGACTGGGGAGGCAAATGCATCCTTCACTCATTGAAAAATAGATATGACTATTTAAATCTTGAAGATTTTCCTTTCTTAGCTGGGAACACCCAAATTCCAGCACATCAAACTTCAAATTTAACTTAAAATACTCTCTCCACAATTCCTCCCCCAGGCCTCACCGTGTCTCCATCCATCTGCCTATCCATCATCCATCCATCCATCCATCCATCCATCCATCCATCCATCCATCCATCCATCCATCCATCCATGATCTTTTACTCGCTTCTTCCCTTTTGGGTCACAGGGGTCACCGGTGCCCATTTCTGGCAATCACTGTGCGAGGGGCGGGGTACACCTTGGACAGGTCCCAAGTCCATCACAGGGCCACACAGAGACAAATGAGACAAGCAACCATTCACTCTCTCACTCACACCTAGGGACAATTTAGAGTTACCAATCAGACTAAAATGCATGTTTTTGGTCTGTGGGAGGAAACCGGAGTACCTGGAGAAACAATATGCATGCATAGAGAGAACATGCATACTCTACCCAGAAAGGCCCCAGACTGGGATTTGAACCAGTGACCTGCTAACTGAGAGGCAGCAGCTCTTCCCTGTGTCTCCATTGCACAATTCTGTTATGGAGACATACTAGGATTTGAAAAAGGAGATAAATGGAAAACAACATTACCGTTTAAGTTCCATATCTTTAACATCACTTGTTCAGCCTGCTTTCACCACCATAACATTGCTTGCCTACATCCATCCCCATCATCCAACAGTACTGCAATTTTGGTTTATTCTTTGGTCGCATCCCATATAGATTGCTGTAATTCCCTTATTTTTGTCTACCTACAAAATTAATTCATAACCTCTGTAGTATGACAATATGCTGGATATATATGCATACTTTTTTCACGAGTTCCTCATCTTTCTGACTGTGTAAATGTCGTGCATTGAATTTTAACAGAAATGTAACGAGAGACGTCATTTATCTTTGACCCATCAAATGAATGCGGTCATTTATTTTCAGAATCAAAGTTTAACATCAAACATTTACATTAATTTTGGCAAAATATGAAAATAATAACAGACAAGTTTCACAAATAATGAACTTCAATCACACGGCGGTGATTGAGGACTTTGCTTCAGATATATTTCAGATATTATCACATTCAAGATGGCGCCCATGGAGTAGGAGGTGTTGACTGATGCTCCCTCCGATCTCTAGCTAACTTTGCCAACTTTACAAAACTGACTCCAACTGTATATGTGTATTTATATGTCTATATAGATAATACATATGTGGATATATATATATACAGAACAGGTGGAAGAAGGAAATCCGCGCGCTCTGAACCGTGGAAGCTGAGCCACGAGTTTAGCTAACGTTTGGCTAACGAGCTGGTCAGAGAGCTGCTTCGGCTAGTGAGGCCTGCGGAGACCCAGTCCGCCGCTGTTGGACCTGCGAACCGCTGAACCGAGCTGTTTACGTCGGGGACCCGGTCCGCCACGTCGGGGACCCGGTCCGCCACTGTCTGGACCTGCGAGCCGCTGAACCGAGCTGTTTACGTCAGGGACCCAGTCCGCCGCTATTGGACCTGCGAGCCGCTGAACCGAGCAGTTTACGTCGGAGACCCGGTCCGCCGCTGTTGGACCTACGAGCCGCTGAACCGAGCTGTTTACGTCGGGGACCCAGTCCGCCGCTATTGGACCTACGAGCCGCTGAACCGAGCTGTTTACGTCGGAGACCCGGTCCGCCGCTGTGCGAGCCGCTGAACCGAGCTGTTTACGTTGGAGACCCGGTCCGTCGCCGATTGGACCTGCGAGCCGCGGAAACCAAGGAAACTAAACTACAGCTGTGGGATTTGGGAGCTGTTGCAACCGGGACCTGGTCTGTCACCGTTGGGGCCGCGAACTTCTGGACCGAGTGAATCGTGGGACCTGGAGGTTGTTGTCGCTAGTCCTCGGCTAGATTTGGCTAGGCCTCGGCTAACAACAAGCTAACAACATAAGCTAACAACAATAGCCTGAGAACCTCGTGGCTGGATCCTGTGCTTCTGAGAGTTGAGACCAATAATCCAGAAGTATCGTGAGTAATGCCGAGCAAACACAGAGATAGGAGACAAGTGTCGGAAAGTAATTCAGAAGATATGGAGGAAGTTAAAAAATCTTTGAACTTTTTGAGTGCTGAAGTGACTAAATTGAGTGCAAATATGACTAAATTATCAGCTAAATGTGATTTACTAACAGGACTGTCTGAAGAAGTGAGACAATTGAAAGAACTGATGACTAGTAAAGACAAAAAAATAGCTGAACTGGAACAGAAAGTTGACGACATGGAACAATACACAAAAATAGACAATTTGGTGATCACTGGACTGGAAGTTAAGAACCGGACATATGCAAGAGTTGTTGCTGGTACTAACACTACAGAAGACGCACCACAGGAAGAACTACAGACTCTGGAGGAGCAAGTAGTGAATTTTTTACAAAGCAAAGACATTGACATCGAACATGAGGACATTTCAATCTGTCACACACTGCCCAACAAATCAGACAAAGTCAAACCATCCATAGTCATCAAGTTCATTAGCAGGAAATCTAGAAACCATGTAATAATGCAAGCAAAAAAACTGAAGGGAACAAATGTTTACATAAATGAACATCTAACTAAAAAAAATGGAAACATTGCACGTGAAGCAAGGTGGTTGAAAAAACAGAAAAAAATAGCATCAACTTGGACAAGAAATGGAAACATCTGGATCAAACTACAGGAAGGATCTCAGGCTAAGATAATAAAAGACCTGAAAGATCTGGAAAGACTAAAATAAGCTCAGGAAATGATAGATGATAAATCATTGACACAACTTCACAAGCAATGAATAATCAAAATATAAAACAAACAAATACATTAAACATGGCAACATACGAAGACTCAGAGTTTAAAATATACAATGTTGAAGATGCGATTGATACAATTTTTTTCCCTGAAATACAAGACTGTGAATATTATAATGAAGAACAGTTTAATGACATCAATATAACTAATGGAGGTCTCTCTATTATTCACTTTAACAGTAGAAGTTTAAATGCAAATATATCCAAAATAACAGATTATTTAAAACAGCTAAACAGAACCTTTACAATAGTAGCACTGTCGGAGACGTGGCTCAACGATGAAAACACAACTTATGTTCACAGGGAAGGGTATGAATTATATCATGTGAACAGAAGCAACAAAAGAGGTGGTGGAGTGGCTCTATTTGTTAAAAATGAAATAAAATGTAAATTAATTAATGAAATGTCAATAGTTGTTGATAATATCATGGAAATAATAACAATAGAAATAATAAACAAGAATGATAAAAACATATTAATAAGTTGTGTATATCGATCTCCAGGATCAAATATAGAAATATTCACTGATAAAATCGTACAACTATTGGACAAGAGTTTTAATAAAAACATTTTTTTGTGTGGAGACTTTAATATTGACCTGGGAAATAAAACAGATTCAAATAACATCAGTACATTTACAAATTCATTGTGTAGTTTAAATCTTTATCCGTTAATATCAAAACCAACAAGAATTACAACTCATAGTGCTACAATAATCGATAATATTTTCACAAATGTAACAAATGGGGATGTGATGGGAGGTATTTTAATGAGTGATTTGAGTGATCATTTACCAGTTTTCATGATTTATAAAAATGATCAAAGCATTACAAAAGAAATTACAATTAAGGAAAAAACAATAAACACATCAAAAAAAGCATTGGACAAATTAAAAGATGATTTACATAAACAAAGCTGGAAAGACGTGTATGTTGATGATGTGAACAGATCATATGATGAGTTTATGAATATTTTGGGAGCTCTGTATGAAAAGAATTGTGTGCAAAATAATTGTACAAAGAGAAATGTTGTTGATCAACCATGGATGACGAAAGGGTTGAGAAATGCTTGTAAAAAAAAGAATTATTTGTATACATGTTTCTTGAAATTGAGAACACAAGAGGCTGAAGAGAAATATAAGAAGTATAAAAATAAATTAGTAGTGATTATAAGGAAACACAAGAAGGAATATTATAGTGATTTATTAAATAAAAGTAATGGTGATATGAAAGCTACATGGCGAGTAATAAATAGTGTTCTGAAAAGTCATAAAGCAAAAACAGGTATTTCACAATATTTTTTGAAAGATGACGATGAAATCCATGATGAAAATGAAATTGTAAATGGATTTAATCATCATTTTGTGAACGTTGGATCAAGCCTTGCAGCTAAAATACCAAAAATAGACAATAATGTGAACCATTCAGTTATAAGTTGTGACAACAGTATTTTTCTTAATGGAACTGACAAAGAAGAAATACTGAATGTAGTAAAAAATCTTACAGATAAGAGATCAAAAGACTGGGTGGACATGGATATGATGTTTGTAAAGGACATAATGAGTTATGTTATCGAGCCGTTTACATATATTTGTAATTTATCATTTTCAAAAGGAATATTTCCAGACAATATGAAAGTAGCAAAAGTAGTTCCTCTCTTTAAAAATGGTGATAAATGTGTGTTCAATAATTATAGACCAATATCCTTATTACCACAATTCTCAAAAATTCTAGAAAAACTGTTTGTGACCAGATTAGATAAATTTATTACTAAACAAAACATTCTAAGTAGCAGTCAGTATGGGTTTAGAGCAAAAAACTCTACATCAATGGCTCTCATGGAAATAATGGAACAAATAACTACTGCTGTCGATCAAAAA